TGCAGGTCAAGGTGGTTCTTACGAGGCTTTCAAAAGAGCCGTTCAGTATGTTTTTCACTTGACACTGTGGTATTTGCATATGCAATAATAAATCTATGATATTTTTTTGTACTTGTTTCTTTACCTTTAGAAACCCGAATATTTTGGATGCCTGTGATATTGATGATCAAACCAAGGAGATGCTACTGCAGGATATTCGTCACCGACTTATGCCTCAAGCTGTAAAACTACGCGCAGACTTTGAGGTTTCTTGCTTTGCATACGAAGGGATCGATGCTGTTCGTCGCGCCCTTCACGCTGGCCTGGCTCTGAGCACTGATGGTCTTCCCATCAAGGTGAGTTTTGATTTTCAGGCCAAGAGTTGCTGACGATTCTTTTGATATTGGCATTGACTCGAAATACTGCTGCAGTCAGAGTCGTGATCATGAGCTTCGAATTCTTCAAATAGCGACACCATTTGTCAGTCATTCGTGCGGTTTTTTCTTGGTGGAACATGGTCTCTTTATTTATGGTGGGCCTTTTTTGTTTCAGATAAATCTGATTGCTCCACCTTTGTATGTGCTGACTACACAAACTCTTGAGTGGAATGAAGGTCTTGCACAGCTGGAAAGGGTTCTGGAGGCCATCAGGAACTCTATTGAAGAGCAAGAGGGTTCCTTTAAACTTCAACAGAAGGTGAACCTGGTTTATATTATTCAACAAATTTGTTCCGCATCTAAGTTGTTTTATTTACTCCTAGTTACAAAAAATTTAATCCAATCGAGACAATTTCCTGCCTTTTCAATCAAGAAAGCAGGGCTGTGACAAGCTCGTAGATGAAGTTTTGTTTTTGAAATCAGCTAAGCCCATGTACGGTCGCATCAGTGTTGCTAATTCCAATCAATAGTGAAGGTTCGTAGTACTTTAGGTATACACGCTTATCCAGTGCACTGTGTTTCCGTTCCTTGTGTACTTCTAGACGTTTAGCCCACCAACCTATTTATTCTGATCGCCTTTTTTTGAAGAGTAATACGTTTTTTATTCATTATCGTGACAACTTTCAAACGACGGCCGGTTGGTAATTAGATAACTGCAAGTTTTAAATCTGATCAGCATATTTTTTTAGTTTCTCATTCATTCCAGTTCGGTATAGCCCAATCATTTCAGTTATTGTTGATAATAAATGCAAAGCACTTTCATTGAATACTTCGAAATCGCCCGACGCAAATCTGTGTCGGCGAGAAACACTCAATGTTCCCCGCTGTAATCATTCTTAGAGAGGGATTCCAGATTTAGGACGTACTTCTTAGTCGGGGGGAATAGAATTACCGGAGTTTCCTGCTAATACCCGTCAATAAAGGCGAGACTCATTTTTATGGGGATCAGTTGCTTGTCTTGCACCATAGAAATCGCAAATTCCACAGGCTACTATAATAATAACAACATTAATCACCAGCTTTTGAAGATTGAAAACTGTTTTTGTACAATAACATGCTTCTGTGACATGTATTGCCTTTCCACATTTGCTGTTGAAACTACACTATGGTGAGCCCAAATTAGGAGGGATTTTGCCGTCTATGCTCTTTGCGGTTGCACCTTATTAGCCACGCGTCGTCTCTGATACCGAGGAGGCCGACTTTCAGCGGCAATTGGAAGAGTTGGAAGACGCCAACAAGGAAGTATCTGGTGACGAGGACGATGAAGATGAGGATGATGGAGGGGACGAGGAAAGGAACGAATATGAGATCGAGGACGAGGATGAAGACGAGGACGAGGAGGGTGAAGAGGGGCAAGATATAGCAGGTGCGGCTGAAGGTGGCGATTCTGTGGAGGAAGATGAAGAACAGCGGAAGAGTCCTCGCAGCGTCAATAACGACGTCAAGAAAGGAAAGAAGAGAGTCAAGCAGCGGCAGTCGAATAATGAAGTTGCGGAAGAGGAATAGTGTCTGACAACCCTAACTCAGTCTCTTTGGCT